AATTTCCCCAAAACAATAGCAGATGCGTATTTAAATAGAACTCCCAATATCTTAAGTAAGCAAAGAAAATGATAATTAAACTAAGGAATAAATAATTAAACTAATGATAAACGATCATGCTTTTATAAAACCTAACGCAATCTCGTCTCCAAACCCACAACCCCTTATTATTTCAAAAATTGATCAGAATTCAATGAGCCCGTTTGCATGTCTCCATAAGATAGCAGTGTCACTCTACGGATCATTTTATCCCAGCAAGGACATACATTCATACAAAACTTCTACTTCTACTACAAGCACACACACAATAGAACTCTGGGCAGTCAAGTGAATCTAATCCCCAGAATAATATGATCCATGAATATTATTAAGGTGTAAAGGTCATCATCTCATTGGAATAATTGAGCTGGAAATTCAACGATCGACACAATGAGAAGTGAGTATGAATCAACTGTTTCGGACGAGGCAATCAGTTTTGGGACAAGAAAATTCATTATCCACTAAAATAGTAACCAAATCAAAAGTTTATCTCATATGTTACCAAATAACTGCATTATCAAATTGAGGGTCTACTTGCATTTCTTGATAAGACATTAATTAAATTAAAAAAATACAAATAATATGCTCAATGCGAAACAAGAAATTCCATTCAAATTTTAAGTCTTCATAATCCTGCATCCCAACTCATTATTGTCATGTTAACTTACCCAGGGATAGAGTTGATTAACTTAATCCAAATTATTTGTCAGTTCCATTAAAAACACTGTATGCTAATTCTCGACTATGTCGAAGAAATTTATTTAATATGTACATCATATTCTATTCTAAAAAACAGAAATGCCAATAGCACTCACTTTTAACCACAGCTGTTTAAGCTTTTCCTTCCCCGAAATAGGAGGGCCATTTGATCCATGATCATGAACCTTTATTGTAGCAACTGCACTTTGCTTGATTATCTGAAAGCATCTGAAAAATCCAAAGCATACACAACAAAAAATCAGTACATGTTATATAAATTAATAAGCAGCTGTAGTGCAAGCACTTGGTTATTATTACCTTTACTTGTTGTTGGAGATCTTTAATGTAATCAACAGCCAAATCCAACATATCAGCTGTATTTGTTTGCTGCAAAATCAAGTGACAAAAGAGCCAAATGCTAATCTTTCTTTTTTATTTTCGAAAAATGAAAACCGATAGAGTAGAAAAAGCTGTAGCTACCTTTACCATATTTGGTACAAGGTCTTGTAGCTTCCTGATTCGCTCGCTGATTTTAGTTCTTCTCACCTGAAAGAATCACATCAACAAGGAACTGTCATCGAATTCATAATGAATGAACAACTGAACAAAAAAAAAAATATAAAAAGGCATTTTGTTTCTAATGATTAAAGCCAAACGAAGAAGTATAATCTGGCGAGGTGTGTTTTTCCGGAGAGATTTATTGTTACCCTTTCAGCAATGCTTCTAGGATGAGTAGCAAAACCCCTTTTCGCTCTAAGCTTACATGGCACTGAATCCTGCAACAGCTTTTCCATTGCAGCCGAATTTGTGGGCAAACTTTGGTGATGAGCCAATCTAGTCGGGGCTCGATTTTCATCTAAGTTTTTCTGTTTCATCAAAATCGTCATAGTTCACTGTAAGATTCAAGTTAGCCCACAAAGACTAAATAATATAGAGAACTAAATAAGTTGTTAATTACTAAAAGAAACCCTTTGCAATTCAGTCGTATCATTTAAAAAAAATAAAAAATCACTAAACTGTCGCAAAATTACAAAAAATGCCCTCTTAGACCCTCCTTCTGGGTCTTCTCTAAGAAAATAGAAAAACCTCAAGCAAAGAGAGGCTCTTGCATTTCTGAAGGAGAATGAGTTTTTCTCTGTATTTAGATTAAACCTTAGGGATAAGCAAACAAAACCTGATCTTCCAAGGCATTTTCTTTTGAGAAGGTTCCCTCAACGTCCTCCACTAGTCCTTTCAAGAAATCATCCGACAGGATAGAGTCATCCCACTGGTTTAAAGGGAAACCAGGGGCATCTTTGTCAAATTGCGCGTCATTTGACCTGTTTTCACCAATGTCTTTATTCCTGAAACCAGAAAAAGGAGACCTCTTTGCTGAGGAAGATGGGGTTCTCGGGGGCAAATCACGTTGGCCCTTAAACCTGCTTGTAGAAGAAAACGACCTTTCTTTATTAGCAATATTACCAGCTCCAACATTCTCCATGACGCCTCTCATTGCACCAAGTTCTGTGGATCATTTTTAGCATCGTGTTTAAAAAAAATTGTTTTTCAAATTATAGAAATGAAAATAGGCAAAAAATTAAAAATAAAAAAACTACTTCAAATAAATGATATGATGCAAGAAAAAATTGACTCTTTCTCAGAGTTGGAGACTATCCATTGTCACGAATTCAGTTCTAAGCAACAACTCAATACTCCAAGTTGGCTTACAAAATTGATTCAAGTATCTTTCCGGTTGGTTTCAAAGTTAACGATAACTATATTATCCAGTTAGATGGAATGGGTAAGTGATTCATAATAGCATTAGGTAATACTTGAGAACCACGAGTTGCTACTGTTCTGAAGTAGTAATTAAAAGTTGAATTACTTTACAGTGGGTGCCTGGTGAAGATGTAAAAATGTGCTCATTTTTCTAAGTCATGTTAAAAGACAATTGGAAACTTTATGCTTCATATTTAAGAGTATATTAACTGACATAAGAAACCCAAGTTGACATTTGAAAAAATAAAAACTAAAAATACTTCTTTTTCTCCAGGCCACAAACTCCCAACTGAAAATTACCTTTTTTCAGTGTGTGCAAGTTGAACTAATTTATCACTATTATGGTTTTCATTAAACGTGTAGAGGGTAGCAATATCTAAATAAATTAAACCCCCTTTTTACAGAAAGCAATTAACTTCAAAACCCTATGTTTTCCTACTTTCTGTACATTTAAAATGTATCGAAATGTAACTTAAATAACGAATCGTAACAAAATCAAGTACGCGACGGAAGAAGATCAATCAACAACATGAGAGCCAACAGAAGACCCTGACTGAAAGTTAGATCATTCCACATTTGCATATTCACACGAAAAGCTAATCAAGTAATCATACTACGTAGACAATACAGATAAAAGACTTAAAAGGGAAACTAAATCTAAGCACAAAAATTAACCATAAATAGCAAACATAAAACAGGTTGTATACTGTATACTCAATAACTGGTCGACATCAGCAGACACTTGAAAGATGGCCCCGGCCAAGAATTGAGTCCATCTGTCTATTGGGTGAAAAGTCAGAAAAATATATAATAAAAATAAAAATGAACAGGTACCACCTTCAATATTTATGTTGTCAAACAGTCCTGCAGGCGAGCTGCTATGGCGAACGAGGCTATGGGTCTCCATCTTCACCTGCACAGGCCGATTTGAACTAATCGGGACCACAGATCCACCAGTAGAGCTCGTGACACCAGAATCCTCTGCCGTATGGCCCCAATTCACTGCCTTAGGAACGGAGGAAAAATCAGGGCTGTGATGCCTCTGCAATGGCGGCCGGGGTCGTTTAGAATCTGGGCAATCAACATCACCGCCGCCACCGTCATCCCTTTTCTTGTGAGATGGCGTCTGGGGATTCATACTGTCACCGCTGCTCATGAACCTGGCGAAAATCCTCTGAGCCTCGGGACTGCAAATGCGAGGGTTAAGAAGCTGCTCGAAATCATCGTCGTTGTTGAGGAAGGTGTCGAAGTAAGAGCTGGGCGCCGAGCGGTAGCGGGTCAATCCGGAGCCAATCGACATGTTCTGCTGGATTTGGTTTTCCCGGTGCTGGAATTGGTTCATCAACCTCGCAGAATTCTAAAAGAAGGCGAGAAAAAAAATGCGAATGAGAGATTAACGGCGTCGTGAAGGAGGAATTGGGGGAAATCTGAGAGAAGCTAGCTGCCTAGTTGAAGATTAAAAATTCTGACTTTATCTGTTATGAAATAAAATTATGAAGCATGGGCGAGTAGAGCTTCAGATAAACAAGGTAAGAGCACTGAAATTAAAAGATAGCAACAGCAGCTCTGAAAGATAAAAGAAGAGAGAGAGCAAAAGGGCAGAGAGTTATCTGGAAGCTACAAGTGTACCTTTTTCTGATCTGTAAGTTTTTCTTCTATGTGGCTCTATTTGTTTTTTTTTCGCGGGATAAAGATGCCTTCTTTTTTATCCTGGATAGCGAAAGGGCTCCAAGGATTGAGCTCAAAGTGGAAGATGAAGACTGGAGAGATAATGGTAGTGGATGGAGAGAGAGAGAGAGAGATGGATGAAAATAGTGCAGCCAATGAGAGCTCAGGTATGACAGAGATCTGGGCTTGTTTTGGGAAATGAAATTGGAAAAAGAAAAAGAAAAATGAAATTGCGTTTATGATCCTTTGAAATTTATGAAGTTGCAGTTCAACACTTCAACTTTATATTTATATATTTTTTTTTTCTTTCTTCTTTCCTAGTTTGGACTGTTCGAGCTCGTTCATTTATGTTCAAACAGTGTTCGTGTTTGTTCGTTTATTTTTCGAGCAAAAAATCGTGGTCAAATTTTTTCGCTTAATTGTTCGTGTTCGAATAATGAATACATAAACTTTTTAAATATGTTTGATTAACTCGAGAAAATAAATAAAATAAAAATATTTTTATATTTTAAATTTTTTATTAAAAATATTATGTAAATATATAAAAAATAAAATAAAATTATATTAAATTAATGTTCGCTAACATTATCGAACGTTCGCGAACAAACTCGTGTTCTTTTGATTATTAAATGAGCCTAATTTTCTGTTTGAACTTGGATCGATTAACAAACAAACGAGCTTTTGTCGAACACGAACTAGCTCGAACGAGCTTTTGTTCGCGAACGTTCGGTTCGTTTACAGCTCTAAGTTTGCCCCTGTCATTTTTCTAAAAATCTTAGAAAATTGTAAAATTCTCTGTACTAGGTGATTTCCGGCGAGAAAATTTCGTCCGACGAGGTGTGATTTCTGGCCGGCCGACCGGCTTTTGCTGTCGCGATCAATTGCAGCCAGCCGGCTATGTAGGCCCGGGCCATTGGCGGACGTTATCTGCGGCCGGCCGTGACCTGCTCGCCCTACATAGACGGCCGGCCGCGATCGAGCGCTATATATATATATATATATATTAGTTCGTTAATTTTATTTATGAAAAAATTATATTAGTAGAAATTATTGTGTAATAGAATAGAATTGATTATATTATAACTTAAAATTTATTATTATTATGTTACAACTTAGAAATTAACAAATCTCTGTCAAATCTTAAACAAATAGTCGTCCATGTCTTCCCCAATTCCCCCAACCCTAAATCCTTCACTCGCCCTTCGCCCGCATCGACCAAAATCGTGCCTTCCCCGGTCCCTTCGCCGGAGGATAGCCTATAGCTGCATCCTCTCGCTCCAATTTCTCTCTCTCCCGTGCTTCTGCACTGACGGTGCCTCTCCTAAGTCGTCGGTAAGTATCGCCGTCTCTAGTTCGCCGGTGGTGGTCCCGCTCCTATTTCTCCGAGTCGAGTCAATGGTGGTTGGCCGTTAGTTGGCTTCATCGCTGCCCGGTTGCCGGTGGGAGCTCGTTCGTTGTGCGTCTGGTTCGTGGTGTGTCGCTTCATGGAGGTGAGTGGTTGGGGTTGGGTGAGACCCTAGTGGCTCGGCTCGTCTGAGTTGAGTAGGCTGGGGATGAGGTGGTTGATTCGAGCCCTTGTGGAGATGGATGTTCGACTACTCTCAGACTTAGGCCAGTGGTGTTGGCTGGGTCTCGGGCAGTTGACGTGTGAGGGGCTGATCGATGCTCCTCCGGCTGTGGGTCGGCTTCATCCTTAGAGTGGTTCGAGGCTCAGGACTCATCCTTTGCTAGGCATTAGGTAGTGGCGGGAGTGGAGTTCCGTTTTTCGGGTCAAACTGTGGGGTGATTAGTCTTTATTTCGCCGGTTGCCTTGTGCTGGGTTCGGTTATTCTGCTAGGGAAGGGTTTTGTTTGTTGATAAATTAGGTTATGTATTAGGTTGTTCTATTTGTGTTCGTGCTGTTATTTAGGTTTGTATTTTTGGTTTAGGCCATTTGGCCTCTGTGCGCCCGAGTGTCAACTTATTATCCCGTTGGGATCGGACACTCGGGTATTATCCCGTTGGGATCTTTTTAGTAGTTTTCGTTGTAGTTTCTATAGTTGATTTATGTAGTTGTGAGTTTGTTATTCTAGCTTTACTAGTTTAGGCTCTAGGCGATCCTTTGGATCTGCCTCCTAGTTTTATCAGTCCTTGGTTGTACTATTCAGCCTTTGGCTGCTTTTCTTCGCACTTTGTGCGGTTTTATTTATATACTACCTCTATCGTTTTGAAAAAAAAAAGAATTTAGAAATTATTATGTTATAGATTAGAATTTATTATCTTATTAATTAGAATTTATTATTATTATGTTAGAACTTAGAATTTATTATCTTGTAAAATTATTAACATCGTAATATATTGTCGGTGCCATTCGAGGATTTTGGAGGACACAGTGGTGATTACAGAGACGCTTTCACTACAGAGGAACTATTTGGTAGTGATGAAGAAGTTATTACATGGGCAAAAAATATGGCAATTTTTTATGGGTTCGAATTGGTCATTTCGAAACACAAAAAAGATGGAAAGTTGAAGATTTTGAAATGTTCGCGAGGGGAATGTTACAGAGGCAATTTAGGAGATTTAGATAAGGCGGTTGCTAGACGTTCGAAAACTAAAGCGTGCAAATGCCCTTTTAAGATAGCAGTCAAACACGTGGCAGGATCTATATATTGGAGGATCTGTGTAAGTCCTGAGGGTAATAAGAGAATGCATAATCATGCAATGGCTGTGTATCCTGAGGGTTACCGGCAGATGAGCAGACTAACTGCTTCATCTGAAGATATTGTCCTTGATATGACTGCTGCTTCGGCATAACCGACAGTAATTTTGGCTGCGATTCAGAAAAAAAAAACCCGGTAGACATGTATATAACTATAGAGTTCAATTGCGGAGAGATAGTTTTGAGGGTAGAGATGTACCCACCCAGATTTTGCATTTGGCTATAGAGAGCAATTATATAGTTTATACTTTACACAGTTGTTGAAGAGAACAAACAGGCGTTGACACATCTCTTCAGGTCGCATCCTGAATCACTCAGTCTTTTCCAGACATATTACTGGTACATCGGTATAGATTCGACGTACAAAATCAACAGATATGTTACAAATTAGTATGAATCTTAATTAGTATATTTGAGTAAGTTTTTTAAATCTATGTATTCTCTTGTTGTTTTCACTTGCACAGGTACCAGATGCCATTGGTGGAAATTGTTGGGATGACGCCGTGCGACAAGAACTTTTTAATTGCATATGTAATTATCAAGGACGAGGGCGAGTACAGCTAGAACTGGGTTGTACAGAAGTTGAGACATCTGATAGGATCTGAGGTACTTCCTAATGCCATTGTCACTGACAGGGAGTTGGGCTTGATAACTCCTATTCAGAGGAATTTTCCAGAATCTGCTCACTTACTTTGCACGTGGCACGTCAACAAGGATGTGGAAGACAGAGTCTATCGACTGTTAGGAAAAAATAAGGACATCGCTCAGAAGTTCGCGCACGGCAGGTGGAAGAAGGTTGTCGAAGTGGGTACAGTGGATCTATACCACAAGGCCGTAGGTGACATGTATTGTCGGTACGCGAAGTTTAAAAAAGTGTTACAATATGTGGACACACATAGTTAGTCCACAAGGAGAAGTTCGTCAAAGCGTGGATGAATTTGGTAACACATTCTGGTAACACAACTTCATGTAGGGTGGAGAGTGTCCATGCTGTGTTGAAGCAGTGACTTAACATGTCTACCGGTTCGTTCGATACAATGTGAGAGAAGATTGAAGATTGAGTCTCAACTGACTCAAGTTAGGTACATTTCTTAAGCTACACATATTTACTCTTTTATTACTACATTAATTATGAATTTCATTGGGCCTAATGTTATATAATGTATTATCAGGTACATGATGAAGTCTTCAAGACGTAGAAAGGTTGTGAATTATACGGGATTCCCATTCGCGTACTTGGATCTATGGGCCTTGCATCACTGTCTCAATTTATTGAATATTAAGTTCGAATGGATGCGAGACTTAAGCGATGAGGTTGACTCGCGCTGCGGCTATGCACTGAGATATACTAATGGAATTCCTTGTGCTTGTGTGCTAAGGGCGGCAGACATTGCTGGGGTGCTGATTATTGTCCATGATATCCACATTTTCTCGAGCACACTAGTGGTGGTAGAGTCAGGTATAATGATGAGATTTATAAACTTATAGAACTTATCTAAACTTTTTTTTTTTACATATGTATATACATATAATGTCGAAATATGATATATTATAATATATTTATAATTTAAGGTTCATGTTTCATTGAGCATTTTCTAATTTCCGTTTCATTTATTAGTACCTTCATGTTCAGAATAAATTATGTTGTTTAATTCTTTGAATTTTCTATGTTATACTTGTAGGGGAAGGTGACTAAAGTGGATCAACAAATCATCAGTTTTTCTGGAACCTTGTTGACGGGGTTGAAGCGGCCGATATTGCAACGATGCGGCATGTTAATCACCTCCTCTACGCTCACCTTCACCCTGAACAGCAAGGTTATACAGAACCTGCGGTGAAGGAAAATACAAAAGGTCTAAGAAAAAAAAACCAATTTAACCAAGCGTCGACCATCGAAATGAGAGTACATAGACAGAGGTCGTCCGGTGGGGCGAATAAGCAATTCTTCGTGTTCCCCGACAAGCTCGTCTTATCTTCAGGAGGGACAACAAGTGAAAATTTGTTTTATCTGAATGTTAACCAAATTATTTATATAAATTATATTATATAAATTGTGACGTGAAATTATTCTGATATTACAGAGACTAGACCGACAAATATCTTTGATTAACCATATCTGGACAAAAATTCCATACCTAATTGTAGATTCATAGAGAGCTATCTGGATGTTGTCCTGGATGGCAACTGCGGATTTCACGGCTACACGACTAGAATGCGAGATTGTCATCTGCCATCTTGGTTTGTATGCACACTACCTTCGTCTGGATCTGTCTCCTAGTTTGCACTACCGCCTATTTGTACTCAGTGGTTTAGATACCAGGATAGAACGGTTGAAGGTTGAGAGAATTTGTAACCATAACAGGATTGAGTCGTGGCATAGAATTCGTAATGCACATATATTATGATATCTGGTCGTGTTTATTGTTGGATTGCGCACGAGTCTTGTGGAGTCACACGAGTACTTATATGTTGATTGTTATGCATGTTTGTGACTGACTTGAGACCGAGTACGTATACGACGATTTTTATGGAACTTTTTAGTT